TTAGTGCTCTCGATCCTAACAGACCCCAGTCTATTTCAGCATTTTAAAGAAAACAAATTAGGGCTCGTGAATGTGAGCCCTCTTCTCGCGTATGATGCCCCAGCCCTCACCGCTGCAATGCTGCAGCCACGCTGCCTCGTCACTTCCGCTTTCGCTTTGGCGCTGCTGCTACTTTCCAAGCATACTATTGTTGCACTTCTTCTCCTCCTCTTCTTTGTTCTTCTTCTTCCTTCTTCCTTTCTCTTTCTTCCTCCTCTATTCCTTCATCGCCCCTTCCTCTTCACCCTCTTTTTCTTCCTCAACGATACACTGGTACGCACCAAAATACCATGTGTCGATACACTAATATAGACCGGTACATACTATTCCGACAAATTACCAAAACAAGTCCAGTACCCGAAAAGGCAAACCTTGCTAAAGAGCAAGGTTGGTCATACCATGGTGTACCGCTCAGTATGGGCGATACCTAACGATTCGACAAGGGACCGATATAGGCAGTACATTAGTATACCCCCATATACCATGTGTCGGTACCTCAGTATGACTCGATATAGCTCGGTGCATACCGTACCGATAGCTGGTCGGTACACCGGTAAGGCGAACCATGCTAAAGAGTATATGTTCATCAATAGAAAGTACAGATTTATGAAACAAACAAAACTTTCAAATTTTAAGCTCGAACTCAATCACATAAAGATTAGAAACATCCTATAATTTAAGTTTGTGAGGAAATAAACAAAGCAATAATCTCTATAAATGCTGGGTTATCCTATTGACATATAAATGAAAATTATGTCATAATGACATGAAAATTAATTTCAGTATTCGATGATGATTTTTGAGATGTTTTATTAATTGCTTTCTCTTTATATGTATAAGTTGCCATTATCAATATAAGTAGAATCTTTCTCAAGACCAAGGGAGCAAAATAGAAGCTTTGCAGTCACACAAGCTTTGATTGAAATAAATCAATTAGATCAATTAAACAAATCATGCTAACTAAACCTCTATTTTTCATAATACACCCTCTAAAGCCCAGCTTAAACAAATCATGCTAACTAAACCTCTATTTTTCATAATACACCCTCTAAAGCCCAGCTTGACACAGCTAAACTCAAGAGTTAGTGACCCAATAAGTTAGATATAATAAATCCTAAATAAAATAGGTCACCAAAGTAATTAAATGCATTCTCTTGTATATCCATGAATATAGTTCCAATAATAGAACTTTTCACTTCTTTTTATTTTTTGTTACTATTAACTGTATTTATGTCATGTTCCTATAATTCTTTTTTATTTTCAAATTTCATTTTAATTTATTTTAGTCATCCTTGGATCCTATACTAGATGTACCGGCATGGCAGATTGTCAGACCACTAAATACCACCCATACTATAGCATATTGGGCTGCATGACAAACCTTGCTTCTTCCACGAGTTCATAGTGTTATACGGTCTTCAAAACAAAAAGGCAAGCAAATTGTGAGACCATGAAAGGTTTCAAAATTAGAAGTGTCGGGGATCAAAGGAGTGTCTAGATAGATACTTCCATAATATAAAACATGAGAGTAATTTTCAAGAATTTAATGCAGTCATTTTATTTTGTAAAAGACTTCTTTTATTCTCCTGGAGAAATTCAAATTATGATAAATGAGTATACCTAAGCCTTGTTCATGGTAGAGAACAAAACTATTACTTTTGTTAAATATGATAGATAAAACAATGGTTGGTTGTTTCAGCCATACCTGCATAGGGTACCAAACCTATGCCAACATACCATGTGTTAGTACACCTAGCATGTACCAAAAGCATACCAGTCTGATTGGGGATCAGCATGGATTCAGTACCCAAAGCATAAAACTATGGATAAAATTATTGTCATCATGCATCTACTATCTTTCTGTTTTTGCCAACCATGCATTGAATGTAAAGTATGCTTAAAAATAGCTTCAAGTATTAATGCTTTGCAAGTTAAAGTTGAACATAAAATCGATCACTGAGTTCCTACCAAATTCAGCATGATGGCATCTTCCAATAAGGGATGACCAACATATGTTGCAGATAGTCCATTTAACCTGCAAGTTTGTTCTTCAAAGGGAATAATACACAACATATGGTCCACAAATTGGCGCAGTACTTTAAGCCTGGTTTCACCTCCTTTCCATGCCCAAAATGAAGGTGCAACATAGTGAACATGTACAGGATAGCTTTCTTCTTGTGCACTTTTTGCTGCAAAACATTCTGCAGTTTAGCATCTTTTATTTAAGTTTGTGTAAAGAACGAAGAACATCCTGGGAGTACGCACCTTTCAGCTGCTTTAGTAAACGGAAAGAGAATCCCTTTGAATCAACAGTCACTACAGCATGTGGACGAAAGAGAAAAACAGCTTCTGTGGTTTCCTTCAACTTTTTCTGTAAGATAAAATCCAACCTTTGGATCAAAATTTTGGTTGTCAATATGTATATAATAAAAAAATGTAATAAGAGTTCACCCTAAATGTATTGAGGTGGGGAAGCAATTCCCACAAACCCATGACTGCAATTTCTTCCATTGGAAAGATCGTCTGCATACCTTCCTTGGACATCAAGGACCTAACATGATAATAAGAATCAGACTGAAACTACCAAATTTGAAGGAGAGGAACAAAGAGGGAGAAAGCAAGTAACTAGCATTGTAGCATAATTTCTAGCCACTAACTATACCTTGCAATTAGATTAAATAAAGGACAATGAACCCAGAAGTAAAAAGATTACTGCAGTCACTGTCATAATGAATCATCAATTCTAATGTTGCAAAAGCATGATCAACATTCATACCAAAAGAAAAAAAGGAGGTTAATTATTTGAACTTTACATGTATACATGATATAGGATAACCTAAAGGGTGATAGGATTAGGGGGTTTGGGGAAGGGAATTGGTAATGAAGGAAGAAAGGAATAAAACAGATATAGCAAATTAATTTAGACACATCCATTTATAGAAACATTAATTTAGACAACAAAGAACAAATATAGCAAATTCAAACACACACTAGCTTTAAGGGAGAGAGACATTAGATCACTATTCTGACAAGGGTGACTTGGTTGAGAAGTTAATCCATTTGTCTCCAATGCAAGGTAGCTCCAGCCTCCAAGAATGTCCGGTCAATAGTTGGGCTTAGATAGCTTGGAAATAGTGGACATGAGATGGTAGGCTATTGGAAAAATAAGGAGATAAAGGTAGAGAGATAAATCTTGTACTTGCTCCAAGTACTCCAAAATCACATCACATATTGTGGAAAAATTAACTCTTTCATTCATTCAATAAATCACGATCCCAGTAAAATCTCTGTCTCTCCTTATAAGCCCCAAGTAAAATAAAGGAAAATAATAATAATACGGAAAAAATTACAGTGGAGATACTTTTCGGTCTTATACAAAGCATGGAAAAAAGAATGGTCAACCTACATCTCTTTGGATTGATGAATTTAGGTCTACGTTTGGATAGCATGATATGATTTTAGTTTAGTTAACTTTCTTTGTCTTTAGAACAATTTTAGTAAGATAGAGTAGTCCTTTGGAAAACTCGTAGAAAAACAAGTAAATAAGAAAAAGAGGAAACGAATCACCTGGCTAAAAGAATGGCACATTATCAAATATCAAAAACGAAGATTATTTGCCAAGAAGCTAGAATCTTATTTTCCCCAAAGAATAAGCCTTGATATAATTGAATTCTTTTCTTTACTGTAATTTACCTTTTTTCTTGCACTTGGCACCCATAAAAAGGGTAAAGAAATTGTAATGGAATCGTAAGTTACTAAGAGAATGAAGAAGTTTCTTTCCCCACAAGATATGTAAGTGATGTGAGGCCATAATGTTCCATATGATGAGAGTTTAAAAGACTTCAAGTGAGTGCAAGTTTTATCTCCATATTTTTCTCTCATTTCTTCCCCAAATAGCCTACCATCTAACATCCACCATTATCAAACTATCTTAAACAGTAGCTGCTGAAAACCTACTTTTCTCAGAGCTACTCTATGTTGAAGACACGTAGATCAACTTTCTAACCAATTCAGCGAAGTCAAAAGGGTTGTCCAATGTCTCTCCCTCCCTGAAACCAATTAGCATTTGAATTTCTCATACTTGTTTTCACCTATATTTCAACCTTTGTTTCCTAAATTAATCAAGAAGACAGAGAATATGAATTAAGAAAAAAGTAAAAACAATGAATCACCTAGCAACATATCTACGTCAGATTATTTATCGTGAGTTCCTTGTTACAGAACTTGTCACTAAACACTTTGTCGCCTCCAATGGATATGATGAAGTTTAGTCCTTTCATAGGGCACCAATGTTTTTGTAGACCATCCTCTTGGAAGAAAATTCTCTTCGAGTAATCCCAACCTTGCTAAACTAAACAAATTTATGTTATTTTATAATTGGAAATATTTACATCCTACTTTATCTCAATATGCATTGGCAAATACATACTTTGATCACGTACCAATTGTTTTACAAGTATATAAACTTCGTCCGATAAATAGATTCAGATATGAATTACTCTAGGCTTCTTATCCTGATTTTTTAATTGTTTTTAAATTCACAGAGTGAGGTGTCTGGTGTTGGCTCTGCTATAGAAAACATTTCTATAGCTAATAAAGACTGGAATCAGCCATCAGAAATCAGAATTCAAAAGTATGGCCTAACACTTCTGTTGATAGTTATCTAGGAGTGAAGAAAATGTAGGAGAAAGCTGCAAACTTTATGAGGAGGAAGAGTGAAACCCTTCATCATAACAAAAGCAAAGAAATAATGAATCTCAACAATGAATTTAAAAATTGACTACTAAGAAGAAATTTAATGGAAACAGATATCAAAAGCCTGATGGAAGAAGGAGCAATACAAGAATACATTTTCATGGAATAGAAAAATATGAAAAGAAGGAAAGAAAAATGTATATTATAAAAAGTGGCAGATTAATTTTGGAGGAAGTTGAAATTGAACAAGAATTTCTACAGAATTATATCAATCCTTTCATACCTCATGATAATAAGTTACTGTCTTGAATGTATACTATAGTCCCTAATATCTCTTCATGTGCCTAACCAATTATCCTTTGGAGAAAACAGTATGATAAATGAAGTTAAAAAAACCTGTTTCATCAATCGAGAACAATAAGGTGCCCAGCACAAGGATCCACTCTGCTTTTACTAGGATTTATGGAATTCAATCATTCATGATTCAATTAATGTGTTTTCTTGTAATGATAACCGCCACAGACATGAAATCCTAATTTAATCTTATATTTCTATAATTTCTAAGGTGTAAAGAGTTGAACATCCCAAAGGTTCCAGGACTAAATTCTAGCTGAATTACCCTTTCAAAGGTACAAGAGTTATTATCGGTATGCTCTCTAAAACACCTTGCAAAGCTAACCATATTATTGCAATCAGCATTCGCTAAAGATAAGACCTGACCGAATAATCTGTGACAAGTCATAAACCGATCCATTAGTGTCAAAGGCAAAATGCAAAAGTTCTACTTAACTTGCACTCTGAAGAAGCTTTTATATAATAACCTGAGTTATTATTCATCACTCTCCTTAAATCTAGAGAGTTAGTCGTGCTGGATTAATTGGATTATATTATCAGCTGACAAATCTGCTTTCCTGACAACAAAAAACAATGGCAAGAACAACAGGTGGGACACTCAAAACCGATGATCATCACCAAAACCTACGCTGAAAATCTTGCTGCAAATCATATATAAAGATTCGTAAGTAGATTATGAAGCCTAAGACATGACAGGAAGAGCAAGAAGAACGTTTAGTTGAGAAGCCCCCTCACTGGAAAATACAAAAGCTATGATAGATTTCAAACAATCAGAAGAACAAAGTCCGTATATAATCGACTATGCCCATTCAACATTCGCGGCTGGGAAGCACAAAAGTAAGCGTGACAAATGTTAAAAAGAATGGAGGAGAGAAGTAAGCGGACTAACCCGCCGACTCCCGCAAAACGGACGGGGAACGGAGAGAGCTTCTTGAGGGATGCCATGAGTCGAGAAGCAATGGAATCTCCGGATACCTCTCCGGCCACCATGAAGACTCTCAGTTCGCCTTCTCGAGCAGCCATGTCGATGATTCGTTTGCTGCTGCTGCTGGCGGTGGTGGACGACGAGAGTCCCGACTTGGAGGCGATTCTCCATGAGACGAAGAGCCTGCCACCCAGACCACCATCGGGCTGGCCCCCAATGGGTCGCAGTAGCATCCTCTCCGTTTGGTCGCGCGGTTGACCGGGACGGCTTCACAAGGTAGGTCAAAAACGTGACAGGGAAGAAGAAACGGGAATAGAAATGGGACCGGAGTGATGATCGCCGCTGTTAAATTATGATTAATTTAATTTGCAATAACCCCAAACCCTTCTTTCGTGACCAAAATAATATAATCGATGATTTACTTTTTAAAAAAATCTGGATTTTGGACCGAGAGCATCCGGGATTTCATAAATTAGCAAAGAGCATATAAAAAAATGGTTAGTTGATTTTAATGTATGTGATTTACTCGAGGATAAAATAATTTTTATATTTTTAAGAACATAACATATAAATTATTAATAAACAATAGAATCTCATATAATATACTGATTTTATAATAATTTATTAATATAATAAATATATATATATAATTTAAGTTTAAAAAATATTTTAACCTTTATAATTTTGATCGTTGACCACTTAAGTCATTATGGGTTTATTTATATCTAAAATAACCTCTATATTTTTAAAAATATAACATATAAGTCCCTTTCGTCGAGTCTGAGTTGATAAATTTTAGAATTAACTTAAGTAACATACTAACTTTATAATAAAATATTAATATAAAAATATATAATTTAAAAATTTTAAAAAAAATATTTATTTTATCAATAAAGAGGAGATGACAAAGGTCATAACAAATGACGAAGGTAAAGAAACAAAGATAAAAGAGACTAGAGAGGCGAAAGTGAGAAAGAACTAAACCACCATGTTATATGCGCGATAGGTGAGGGCACAAGAGATGATGAAGTGGGAGGATATGAGGACAAAAACACCCAAGAGGAGAAAGAGGGATTGGGAGATCATTGCATGCCTAACGTTAAACCGATCGACGCACATCCACCTAAGATAAAGATCAGAAGTTTTTAAGCTTATTGTCTACGTTAGAGAGGATGTATGCATACGACACCCTACTAAGCAACAATAGCTCGGAGCTATTGTTGGTGATTGCTTCTATGACAATGCCTCCTCCCGTCAACGATCTCAATTTTTTTATTTAAATTACATATATTATTATATTCATGATTTATTGTGAATCAACATATCACATAAACATATTCTAATATTTCTTGACTCATATTTAATATGAGGAGGTTATATGTTATATTTTTAAAAATATATAAATTATTTTAGACATGAGCAAAATCCTAAAAAAAATAAGTGATTTATGATCAAAACTAAAAGAATTAAAATAAATATTTTTTTATATAAATTATATTTATTATTATATTAATATTTTATTATGAGTCAGTATCTTACGTAAGTTAACTCTAATATTTGTTAACTTAAAATTGATGAAAAAATTTTATATACTATATTTTTTAAAATATATTAATTATTTTAAACGTGGGTAAACTATAATGGTATAAATAGTCCATAACTAAAATCATATAAGTTAAAATAAATTTTAACCCAATATTCTCCTTTGCTGTTCTCCCCAGCTTCCACCAAGTTTGTATTTCCCTCTTCTCTTTCGTCGCCCTTCTTCTTCTGTCATGCTTATCTTACCCTCTAGTCAATTATCATCAATTTTTATCTTTTATCATACTTATAATTTTCTCTATTGTCGTCTTCTTGCACGCTTATCTCTTCCTCTCGTCAATCACCAACATCATTTTTTTGTTCTCTTCTATCATGCTTACATTTCCGTCTCATCCGCCGTTTCAGTCTTCTCAACCTGTTTTTTTTATGCTCGTCTCTCTCTCTCCTCCCCATCTCCACTGAAGCCACCTGTGGTCTCTCTCTCTCTTTTTTTTCTCTATTATTTTGTTAGTTTTCAAGTTGATTAATTTAAACGAGTGTAACTATAGATTTGTCTATTATACTTATCAATGTAATCATGATTTTTTTTCACCATAAATAGATAATAATATCCCAATAGTAATTTTTTATTCTAATTTGGCACGTTTTATGAATCATTCCTGGGATAAAAGGAAAAACATATACGTAGTAAGTTTTATGAGTTATCTTAAATCATGCATTATTTTTTACATATTATTAAGAAAATTTTAAATTAAAATATAGGAAATCTTGGAAACTGAGAGTGTGAATTTTCTTTTCAGCTTTTTTATTGTCATTATCTAGTTTTTAATCTATCAGGAAATGAATAAAGATATCGACTCTAATACTTTACTGTAGGGTTATGATGAAGTTAAGCTTTAATGAACCTCCCACAAAAAGAAAGATGGGTGCAAGGAAAACGAAACTACACTACAAGGGAGATGACATTCTAAGAGACAAGTCTCCAACAACACAGCGAAGGAGTCTTTGACTAGGAAGGAGACAGATGTGACAGAGCTATGAAGCCATAAAGATAGGAGTAGTTCATGAGAAACAAAAGAGAGGTAAATCAAATCAATATTAAATGAACCATGGTCGAGGCTGTGAATCAAGCCGAACCATGTGAGAATTAATAGGAGGCAAGGATACCATGTGAGAATTGATAGGAGGAGGCAAGGATATTAACGGGCTAATTATAGATTAATCTTTATACTTAATTATTTTTAGTATTTTTATATTTTTTAAAAAAATATATTAATATTTTTTTACTAGTAAAATATCTAGATCTATTTATGATGAAATAATTTATTTTATAAATAAAAATATAAAAATAAAAAATAAAAGAATAATTTTACTGTCGAAGGCTATGAGTTGTTATTATGGATGAGGAAATCAATGATGATAAGTAAGGGCTGCTTTGTATCTATGTTGATATTGACGTAATTACTGAGTGGCCTTTTCATCGCTTTTCATCTGCGTCATTTGCATCAATGTTGATACAATCATCAAGTGATCCTCACTTCTCGTTGTCACTATCCTCATCCATAATATTTACCCGTGGCTTCCCAGTGATGTTATCGTCCATCATCATTGATTGAATATTAAAATTATTTTTTTATCTTTATTTTTATGTTTTTATAGATGAAACCGATAGTGTTAGAACAAATGAATCTAGATATTTCACTTTGTAAGGATATCAATATAAATTTTTAAAGCATAGAAATTAAGATGTTAAAGATTATTAATTGCAAGTGTAATATGTAATTAGCTTGACGTATTAGAAGAAGATAGATAATTAAAATGCTCTAATAGAAAGAAAAAAAAGATTTGTTAGAAAATTTATTTTTTTTTTCATATTTCTTTCTAACTACATAGAAAGTTATAATTGTAAATTTTTGTTTAATGAATCACTAGGAAAGGCCTCTTGTTTTAATAATCAGAAAGAAAAGCAGGTAAAATTGGAGAGAATTTCAGCTTTTAAATTACAAACAAAATCTTCAAATTTTATATTTATATTAATTTTCGAGTCAAGTAGGCTCTTAAAAACTAAGAATAAATTTAGAAGATGGTCGGTCATCACATTCGAAAGTGAATCGTTCGCCACACTATTCCTAATTCTATGCTGCTAATTTCGTCACCAAATTTGTCGAGACACAAAAGACGACCTCTCCCTAGTGAAAGAAAGTTATCTCTACGTGACATAGCCAACTCATCGTGTCGGTCTCGTGCGGTCCATTTATTCGTGAAAGCTCGTAGTATTCTTTTCTTTCGATTAGTTACCGCATAGCGACTTTAGTGCGGCGGATCGGGAAATTGTTCAGTGCGTCACTCCACTGTCACGAGTACAATGGGTGGAGCCCACCATGGGGCCACCACGTCCCCACTGACATTAAGCTTCGTGCTCCCTTCCCCCTCGACCCCTTCTAGGCGTACCTTCGTCACCTCTTAATCTCCGCCACTTCCCCCACGATTCTGCTGCTTGCCCCCAAAGAAATCCGGCGACAGCCACTCCGGGACACTTCTTCCTCTCATGCTCTGCTTGTCACGGAGCATGGGGATTTTCGCATGTTGTTCTCTGCTTCTCCTCTTCTCCACTGCCGCAGGTGAGACAAGGGAGTTCGCTTGCATCGTGCCGTCTCTCGGCCTTCTGTTCTGACCACCGTTTTGCTTCTTTTTCTGCTAAATGTGCTTCTGGTGTTGTGCAGAAGCAGGAATTGTTGGTGTGAACTATGGCCGGGTGGCAAACAACCTTCCGTCGGCTACGGAGGTGGTGGAGCTCTTGAAGTCTAACGGCATCAGTCATGTCAAGCTCTACGACGCTGACCCTTCCTTCCTCCGCGCACTGGCGGGCACCGGCGTCAAGGTGGTGGTCACCGTCCCCAACGAGATCCTGGCGTCCACCGCGGCCCGCCCCGGCTTCGCCCTTGCCTGGGTCCAGCGCAACGTGGTCGCCTACTACCCTTCCACTCAGATCCAGGCCATCGCCGTCGGTAACGAGGTGTTCGTCTACCCTCGCAACCTCACCACCTTTCTCGTCCCAGCCATGCAGAACGTCCACGCCGCCCTGTCCAGCCTCCGCCTCGACGGCGTAATCAAGATATCCTCCCCCATCGCACTTACTGCTCTCCAGAACTCTTACCCGTCATCCGCCGGCTCGTTCCGGCCCGAACTGGTTGTGTCGGTGTTGCAGCCGATGCTGGAGTTCCTACGCCAAACGGGCTCTTACCTCATGGTCAATGCCTACCCGTTCTTCGCTTACGAGGCTAATGCCGATGTGATCTCCCTCGACTATGCCCTCTTCCGGCCCAACCCGGGCGTGGTCGACTCCGGGAACGGCCTCCGCTACTACAGCCTCTTGGATGCCCAGATCGACGCCGTCTTCGCCGCCATGTCCGCCATCAAGTACGAGGACATCAAAATAGCCATCTCCGAGACGGGATGGCCGTCCAAGGGCGACGCCGACGAGACGGGCGCGGGACAAGCGAACGCGGCCGCATACAACGGGAACTTGATCAGGCGGGTCCTTTCGGGCAATGCCGGGACGCCGCTAAGGCCCCAAGCCGACATAGATGTCTACCTCTTCGCCCTGTTCAACGAGAACCAGAAGCCGGGCCCGACGTCGGAGAGGAACTACGGGTTGTTCTACCCAGACGAGGGGAAGGTCTACGACGTCGAGTTCACTCTCGGCGGGCGCAACGGAGGTGGCCTAAAGTGGGAGGACGTCAGGGGCAAAGGACCTTCCACCACGCTGCCACCGTCCTCT